TGCTGTGAGCCGGAACCAACTCCACGGCACATAACCACCACCACCACTATGAGCTTTGATTGTGGGTTGAAACGAAAGGAAATCTGACAACTTCAGTCTTTTCTCCATTTAGCATGTTAATTTTTGGTTCAGTTGTTAGGAGTTTTGTTTTATTCACACTGAAGTGTAATGTATATCAAAGACTGTAGTCTTTGATCTTCTGATCTTCATCAGTATTTCAAATACTCTTTACTTCCAGCAAGCAAGGTTGTATCATTTGCATATGATGAGTCTTCCTCCAATCTTGATGTCACATTCTTTTTCGTATAATCCAGCTGCTCTGATTATTTGCTCAGCATACAGATTAAGTATAGTGAAAGGATACAACTCTGGAGCACATATATGCTCCCTTCTTCCCATATAAGTACACAATTTGATTTCTCTGGTTCTGTTTAAATGACTGTCCCTTGGTCTACGTACAGGTTCCTCATGAGCACAATTAACATGTTGTAGAATATCCACTCTTCCCAATGTTAGCCAGTTTGTTATTATCCACACAGTTGAATGCCTTTGCATAGTCAATAAGGAATTATCTTTCTGGTATTCTTTGCTTTCAACTAAGATCCATCTGACATCAGCAGTTGATATCCTTCATTCCACATCCTATTCTGAAACTGATTTGAATTTCTGGCAGCTCATTGTCAATCTACTGCTACAACTATTTTTGAATTATCTTTAGTAAAATTTTACTTGCATGTGCTATTAATGATATTGTTTGATAATTTCCACATTCCATTGGGTCACCTTTTTTTGGAATGGCACAAATATGGATCTTTGCCAGTTTGGTGGCCAGATAGCTGTCTTCCAAATTTCCTGACATAAGTGAGTGAATGCCTCCAGTGCTCCGGTAGTTTGTAGAAACATTCCAGTTTGTATTTTGTTTTTGGAGCCTTGTGTCTTGCCTTCAGTGCAGCTTGGTTCTTAATCATATGCTCCCTCTTGAAATGGTTTAACATGGACCAATTCTTTGTGGGGCGCAGTGATGCTTTGTATTTTTTTTTTTTTTTAACTTTTTATGAACTGAATGAAGGTTTAGAGAGATGATTATCAGTTTTACATTTAACAGACTTCATACTTTGTTTCATCTCAGTGACTGCAGTCCCCTCCATGTAACAACAGTTATCCCACTTCCTCCCTGTGCTTCATATTTCCATTCCACCCACCTTCCCATCCCTTCTCAACTTTGTCCTTAGGTAGATGTTGCCCTTCTGATTTGGAATGATTGAGCAGACCTGACTAGTGTTGTTGTCCCTCCTGTATGCCTATCTACTGCTTAGCTGAAAACTGGGCCATGAGGGTGACTTCCATTCAGACCTGAAGGGTGGTTGAGAGCCATAGTCTCTTTGCTTTCTTTATACTGTCTTGGTATCATTCTACAACTCCTCTGGTCTTTGGTCATTAGTGTCTGTTAGTGATGTCGAGTCAGTTCTGACTCATAGCGACCCTGTATAGGGTTTCCGAGGAGCAGCTGGTGAGCTTCAACTGCCGACCTTGCAGTCCAGCGCATTAACTAACAATACAATACAACTAATACATCTAATCTGTTCTTGTGATGGTCTCGCTGTTCAGGGTGGAGACCATCTCCACCCTGTGGACTTGTTTTCATTCTCGTCAGCTTCCGCCTGAATTCGCATATGAGCAGTTGATGGCCTGCTCCACTGCTGCCCTCTATGAAAATACCTTGTTTGGGCTGATATTGAGCTGCTGCTGCTCCCTTCTTTCTGTATATGTACACAATTGGATTCCTCTGTATCCCATCTGGTGAGGTCCATGTGTATAGTTGCTGTTCATTGTACTGAAAAGAGGTATTTGCAATGA